GGGTCCCGGTGGTGGGAAGGGGGCCGGTGGGGTTCGGGGCGGCGTGTCGGCTGTAGCTGGCCGGTTCCCGGGCTCTCGGTCTGCTCGGGTGGTCGGGGTGAAACCCCGCAGGGGGCCGGGGCCGCGCTGTCCCCCGGGGATCTGCTCCGAGCCGCGGGCGGGTCGCGATAGTCGTGCTGTGCCTCAGTTTCCCCTCTCCCGGGGTAGGGCAGGGGCTGCCGGCTCCTCTCGCCGCTCCCGACGGGGCAGCCTGGTTGCAGGGGAGCCGGGGCTCACCGGCGGTGCCAATGCCCGAGGGAGGAGAGGAGGAAGGCTCAGGGGGGTGCTAAGGTGGGGGGGTCCCTCCTGCCCCCCCCCCGGGCCGGGCACCCCGCACCGCTGCCGTCCCCCGGGCTCGCTCCTCCCCTGCCTCTGCCTTGCACAACCCCGGCGTTTCCCCAGACCCACACATCTGCTTTCTGACTATTTATTTCTGGGCTTGCGGTTCCCCCCCCACTCCTCCCCGGCAGGATCCCACCCCGGGGGGCTGCGGGCGGCCGTGGCTCCAAGGAGCGTCCAGTCGATGCTGGGGTGTTTTTTTTTTTTTCCACTCTTCGAGTTTTTCCTCCCTATCCTGCTGCTGGTCCAGCGGTGTGCGTCCGCTTCGGGTGCGGATCCAGAGGTTGGAATAGCCGGAGCGGGGATGGCAGCATCCCCCCCCGCCTCCCCTCCTCCTTTGGGGAGGTGGTGCACAGTTTGCCTCCCCATCTCTCCTCATTCCAGGCTAAGGCCCCCACTGAGAGCAGAGAGAGGGGAAAAAAAAAAAAAAAATGCTGTGTCCTGCTTTTGGGTGAGAACAGCTGCAGGTGGGACTTGGTGGGGACCTGCAGCCCCTCGGAGAACTGGCTGTCCCATTCCTCGGTGCCCCTGGGCACAGATTGCTCCCTGTTATCAGGGAGGCAAATGCAACCTTTCCCCTTTAGCTTGTTTTTTTTCCATATGCTTGAGTGAGTAAGAGCCGTTCTGCTGCCACAAGCTCTTTTGGAGTGCAAATTTCGTCGAGAGTGCTGGCAAAGGCAGCTGAAGTGTGCTGGAGACGGGAGACTGGACTTTGGGCACTGAGGCGAGTTCTGGAGGCAGGAAGGCTCCAGCCAGGCACGTCCTTGAGAACTGTCTCAGTGGCAAGGTGAAGTAAGCAAGAAGAAAAGAGGAGAGGCTTTTTGTAGCCTTTGGCATCATTCCTGGCTTTGCAAGAAATCCCACGATGCCCTTTTGGCCTGACCTAAGCCAAACAGACCTATTTAGCACAGGGCTGTGGGTTGTTGCTTGCCAGCAGCTGGTACAAAACACTTGTGGGTGGAGGAAGCTGAATTATCTACTCATGTGGCATTGCAGATTTCGTTTTAAAGCAACAATTCTCACACTTTGGGTGGCAGAGGTAGCTTTGCTGGTGTAGCTTTTTGGTGCCACTGTCTTCTGCTGCTTGGTTGTTGCCTGGCTGAAGTGCGCCAGGTTGGGCAGGAGTAGCCCCAGTTGTGCTGGAGCTGCAAGGAAAAGGGTGGCTGTGCCTTGCTCTGCTTTTGAATGCTGTGATGAGCAGCCATGATGCTACTGAACTCTGAGGCGGGGGAAGAAACGGAGCAGGTAGCATAAAGCAAGATGTGTTTGCAGCAGAAGACAGGGTCTTGTGTAAAACACCACCATGCTGCCCAGGGGAGCACCACCACCAAGTCTGGCTGCGTGTCCTGCCTGCACTGCAGCTTGGACCCATGGTGAGGAGCTCTGCTGCTGTGTGTAGTTACCTGTGTTTGGAAACCTGGCTCCAAATGGGGAAATGCTTTATTTCCCTTGTGAGCAACCTCATCAGAAGCAGGTTGTTTTGTGAAGCCTCTGCAGGAGGTGGGTTTCTCAGGCGAAGGTGGGATTTCTGGCCGGAGGACATCTGTAACATCTGCTGCGTTTCAGATGGGGCTCCTGCCTTTCCTGCCCTCTTTCTGCAGCCAGCCAGGCTGGGAAGATAAATACTTCAAGTGGAGGTTCAGACCTTTCCCTTTGAGACCTGAACCTTGCAATGCCTGCTTTCCTCTTTTATTACTCCCAGCCCAGTGGACTGCAGTGCCCAGAAAGTCTCCTTATTATTGCTTCCTCCTAAAGCCAGCTCTGCTTTTGCTTTCCTGCAAATGAGACCAGTCCAGCAGCCCAGGAATGGTTGTCCCTGATCTGGGGAGCTGCCGAAGCTCTGGAGAGGAAAAGAAACTGGGCTGGGGGCTGTGGTATTTTGCAGATTTCCAGTAAAATGATCAAACAAAAAAAAATCCCTCCATAGTGTCTGAGTGGCTTTTGCTTTTCCTCTGAGGCAGAGGGATGCTGGGGGCCCAGCAGCCCTAGTCATGGGAAAACGGTGCTGGCAGCCTGCAGGGATTTGCTTTTGCCTTGTGCGAGCTTGGCGGGGAGGAGACTTCCTGGGAATGTTGCATGCCGGGGTAAGGAAAACCCCGTTCTCCTAAGGGCTGGGCCGAGCCCCCACCATGGATCACAGGATGGGAACTGATGGGCTGACAAGCCCGTGGCTTCTGGAGGCTGTCTCCACCCCGGGGCTTGCTGCCGAAAGCAAACCTCCAGCGGTGCCAGCCCACTCGCTGTGCAGGATTCCCATCCTCCACCTTTGTATCTGCAGCTGTTCGGTAATTTTAAAGCAGGAATTGTTTCCTTCTGTCTCTTCTGTGTGGCTGGTGCAGCGATGGCTGCAGTGCTGGTGGCCGTGGCAGTGATGCACATCACCCTGGGTGACAGCAGGGAACAACCTGGCCACAGCTACGCAGTTCCAGCTCACTCCGAAGCCACAGCACAGCTATTTAAACACCACCGTGCTTTTGTCTTCACCTGGGAGTCTCCCCTGCCCGCTCGCTCTCTCATTCTCTCCTTTTGCTGAGTTGCCCTAAAAATTTACTACCTAAAGGTCTTGGTGCCCCGCTTGCAACCAGCAACACCCACAGGCGACCACGGCATCTGGCAACCTCTGCCGGTGGCTGGGCACGGAGCTGGTGAGCTATAGCTGGGCAGCCGTGGTCCGTGGCTGGCCCTCAACCCCCCCAGGGCTGTGAAATACCATCAGATTAGCTTAGAAACCGTTGATTGGCAAAAAGAGAAGTGTTTTCTGGTGGTTCAGTGGTTTCTTCTGGAGTCTGTGGTAGTCATGTTTTCTTTGCATTTCTAACCATCATTAGGTTCTGGTCTATAGTCCTCTCTCTTCTCCCCTGGTGTTTTTATTGAAACGTGAGATTTCTCACTGCAAACCTCATCTTTCAGAACTCTTAAGGAACAAAAACCAAACCAGGATGGGGAACAGTGACCTGGTCCAGGGTCCTCTCCCCAGGGTGACAGTTTAGTCCCAGTGGTTCCTTGCAGAAAGGGCTGTTCCTCCACCCCAGGCAAACCTGCCCTGACCCTGGTGATGGGCTCAGATGCTGCAGAAACCCTCCCCTCTTGTGGGGTCTTGTTTGCTGGTGAATTTGCGGGTGGTCTGTGCTTCTGTCAGCTGGAGATAGTTCAGTTCCTCTCCCCGGCTGCTGTTTGAACACAGGTCCCATGGCCCCTCTGCTGTCATCTCCCTGGTGGGGTGCGAGACCTTGGGTAGAAAAATCCTTGATAAAACCTTGAGAATTGGGAATAGCAGAGGCTTTCAGTGGCTCCATCCAGCTGGAAGAACATGGTCTCTACCAATCGGCAAGGAGGTCAGCGCAGCTGGCTTGGGTTTGAGTGTTTCATGCAGGAGTGCGCAGGGGCAGGGGACCTCCCGTGTGTGCTGTGGGGCAAGGCAGAAAACCTCCTGGTTTGGGGTCTGGTATTCCAGGCTGCTGCAAAGCCACACGGGGCAAGGATGCCACGTGAGAGGGCAGCTTGTCCCCACCTTCCCTGACCCAAACCTGTGTTTGTCCCAGTGGAGGACACGGATGCCCCATAAGATGCTCACTGTAAAATTGCTTTGCTGACCAGCTCCTCCCAGACACCCAGGTTTGGAATTTGGAGCAGCATGTGGTGACTGGACACCAGTGAGAAACAGGCTCAGGTCCCCAGCCTGCCTGTGAAGCTGTCCCTGTCCTCCACCAGGCAGGTAGCATGGCCACAGGTGACAGCATTTCCCTGCATGGAGGTGCCATCGGGTCCCCAGACCACGTGCGTGCCACCGCACTGGTTCTGTCCTGCCCACCGGCAGGTCTGCTCCGGGAGTTTTCCTCATCCCGTGGTGGGAGGCTAAGGGGGGATTTTGTACCGGCTGTGACGATGCTGCCTGGCGCTGGGACCAAGGGCACAGAAACTGTCCTGGTTCTTCTGCAGCTTCCTGTCAGCTGCTATGGGCTCCAGAAATAGCTGCTGTTCAGCCTGCCCCATGCCGCATCTGGGCAGCTCCCGGTGGTCACCACCTCCAGCCGCTTGGGACGGGGCTGCCGGCTCCACGTGGGGGGTCACAGGGAACTGGGGGGCTTGGTGGCACCTGCAGAACAGGAGGATGGTGAGACCTACTGACAGATGCATCTCCCAAAAACAGACTGTTGCTGAGGCCGTGTGTAATTACCTGCTGCCTAGGCAGGCGTTAATTGCCACTCCAGTTGCGGATGCTGCCAGGTGGCAGTTGTCATCTGGAAAGTCCCTGCCGCTCCCTGCCAGGCAGGTCATCTAAACCGGTGATCAGCCCAGATCGCTTGTGGCATGAGCATTAGTCTGAGGTTGAGATGGTTTCGGGTATGGGCTACCCCCCTTCCCCTTTCAGAATGCCTCCCCCTCAGCCCCCTCCCACTCGAGAGCACCCAGCTGCCTTGGCTGGGTGGAAGAGCACTTGGGGGTGCCCACGGGTGCTCCTGGGGTGCCCCCAGGCAGCACCCCAGCTCTGGCTTGCATCACCCCCCAGGGGTCTCAGCTGCTGTGCTGCTTCACTTTATAACAAGCTGGCATCGGGGGG